AGGCCTGGAGGGGAAGACGTACGAGGAACGGCTGAGGGCACTGGGCCTGTTCAGCCTGGAGAAGAGGAGGCTGAGGGGAGACCTCATCTCAGTCTACAACTTCCTCGTAAGGGGGTGTCGAGAGGCAGGAGACCTTTTCTCCATTAACACCAGCGACAGGACCCGCGGGAATGGAGTTAAGCTGAGGCAGGGGAAGTTTAGGCTGGACATCAGGAAGGGGTTCTTCACAGAGAGAGTGGTTGCACACTGGAACAGGCTCCCCAGGGAAGTGGTCACTGCACCGAGCCTGACTGAATTTAAGAAGAGATTGGACTGTGCACTTAGTCACATGGTCTGAACTTGGGTAGACCTGTGCGGTGTCAAGAGTTGGACTTGATGATCCTTAAGGGTCCCTTCCAACTCAGGATATTCTATGATTCTATGATTCTATGATCCCAGCCACCTGACTTCCCTGCCGTCTAATTCCACACAATTGGCTCCAGTGTCCCAGCACCGGAGCAGCCAGGTGACAAGCTGCTCACCTATACAACGACCAAAATCTTTTCGCACATCTTGTAGCTCACGCTCGTATAGGTTTCAGGCAGATACTGTTGATTTTTCGACATCCTCATCTTCCTCCTCTTGAATCCCTGATGGCCCAGCATCGTCGTCTCTATACCTAGATTTGGCAGAAGACTCTCTGCATTCTAAACGACCTGAATCTCTATACCATTTTTTCACCTTCTCTACAGGGGCAACTTGCACGGCTACAGCTCGTTTCTCTGACCCAGCTACAGGAGCTGGAGCAGCTGCAGGAGCTGGAGCTGGAGGGGCTGCAGGAACTGGAGCAGCTGCAGGAGCTGGAGCGGCTGCAGGAGCTGGAGTGGCTGCAGGGTCCACCGTAGGGGTCGCAGTGGCCGTTGGATCTGTCACAGGACTTGGAGTGGCCGCAGGGTCTGTCACTAAGTTGATAGTAGTATCAATGGCAGCTCGATAGGCATAAGCAAGGCCTCAGCACGTTACAATGATTTGTGTCACTTTGGAACTGCCAGAATCATGACACCTTTTTTTCAAACATTCTGCCAGTTTTTGAGGATTTTGCAGTTGTTCAGGGGTGAATTTCCAAAACACTGGGGGTGCCCACTGCTCTAGATGCCTGCCCATATCCTCCCATACTCCCTGCCACTCACAACTATACTGCCTCCGGGCAGATCTCCGGATGAGCTTCCTAAGTAGTTGTTTAACTTTAAGCAAAACTTGAAGCACATTCAGGAGGCATAACAACAAGACCATGCTGGTCTGAGTATCCCAAGGATATTCAATATCTTGGAGAGCTATTGTAACAAGCTCGGAGGATAAGAGGGTGGTGAAGGAGAAAGGGAGAGTGATCAAGGAGGATAAGGGGGTGGTGAAGGAGAAAGGGAGAGTGAACGAGTAAGAAAAAATATCTTCCCCTTTCCCCTCCACACATTGACTCCCTGATGAAAAAAGGCAACAGGTATAATTGCTAATACTTTCCAAGATACGGTTTCCAAAGTATAGAGTCGACGATGTTATTGAGTACAAATACCAAGTTAGAGTCATGACCAGATATCTCATTGTCTCATAAGCCATTGCTACAACACACAGTACCATAATGATCTGAAACCAGGGCCCGGAGAGGATAAACAACATGACAGAGAATACATACGGAAAATAATGTGCTATAATACTCAATTTGGAAAACAGGCGCAGCAGAGTTGAGATTAAAGCAATCAGTATTATGACAAGTGACTATTAAGCAGGTCTAATACTTACACCAATTTTAGTTTAACACACTCTGGTCAGATCTGCCATTATCTCAACCTTTTGAGCCCCACGTTGGGCGCCAAAAAGACTGTCGTGGTTTAACCCGGCCGGCAGCTAAACACCACGCAGCCGTTCGCTCACCCTCCCCCCTCTCTCTCTGGGATGGGGGAGAGAAACGGGAAAGTAAAGTCCGTGAGTTGAAATGAAGACAGTTTATTAAGACAGGAAAATAATAATAATAATAATAACAATAACAATAATAATAATAACAGTAATAATAATAATAACAATTATGATAATAGTACTACTACTAACAAAGCATACAAACAAGTGATGCACAATGCAATTGCTCACCACTCGCTGACCGATGCCCAGCGTAACCCCGAGCAGTCCGGCCGCCTTCCCCCGGCTAGCCACCCCCATATATTGTTTAGCATGACATCAGATGGTATGGAATACCCCTTTGGCTAGTTTGGGTCACCTGTCCTGGGTCTGTCCCCTCCCAGCTCTTACTGCACCCCCAGCCTGCCTGTTGGCAGGACAGAGCAAGAAGATGAGACGTCCTTGGCTTGGTGTAAGCACTGCTCTGCAACAATTAAAACATCGGGGTGTTATCAGCACTCTTCTTATCCTAAGCCAAAACATAGCATTCTACCAGCTACTAGGAAGAAAATTAACTCTGTCCTAACTGAAACCAGGACACTTGGCTGTGGAGAAGCTTTCTCAAAAGGTCTGCCAATTCAAAGAGAATATGTTTTCCCCCTTCCTGTACAAACCACTGACTCAACTACTAGGAGTAAGCATCCCTCTGTTCAAGAAAGAAGATATAGTGGGTACACACCCCGTGCTACCCTGTGGTTTTACCTACGTGACCATGGAAAGGACGTGAGAAAATGGAATGGAAAATCTGCCTCGACACTGGAGGCAGGTATGTGAGCTGCAAGGAAAAAACAACTGCAAAAGGGGGGTTCTCTGAGAAAACTGATGCTTCCATTTCCAGTGGGCAGTCCTCCAGACAGAAAAAATGAAGATTCTGTCCAGGATTAGAGGGGCCCTGCCTCCAGCCAGGGGAAGGAAATGGACAGTCAATTTTATTGTACAGGAGCTTCTCAAAAGTTCCATTTTTTAGGAATAAAATGGCAAGATGGATGTCGTCAAATCCCAATGGATGTGACCAACAAAATAATAGCTATGTCTCCACCAGCTAGCAAAAAAGAAACACAAACTTTCCTAGGTGTCGTGGGGTTGTGGAGAATGCACATTCCAAATTGCAGTCTGATTGTAAGCCTGCTCTACCAAGTAACCTGCTGTAAGAAGAACTATTTCAAATGGGGCCCCGAGCAACAACAAGTCTTTGAACAAATCAAGCAGGAAATAGTTCCTGCAGTAGCCCTTGGGCCAGTTCGAACAGGACCAGGTATATAGAACGTGCTCTACACCGCAGCCAGGGAGAAGGGCCCCACCTGGAGCCTCTGGCAGAAAGAACCTGGGGAAACTCGAGGTCGACCCCTGGGGTTTTGGAGTTGGGGATACAGAGTATCTGAAGCCCACTACATTCCAACCAAAAAAGAGATATTGGCAGCATATGAAGGAGTTCGATCTGCTTTGGAAGTGATCTGCACTGAAGTACAGCTCCTCTTGGCACCCCAACTGCCAGTGGTGGGCTGGATGTTCAAAGGAAGGGTCCCCTCTACACATCATGCAACTGATGCTACATGGAGTAAATGGTTTGCACTGTTTACTCAGTGGGCTTGAATAAGAAACCCCAGTTGTCCAGGAATATTGGAAATGATTGTGAACTGGCCAGAAGGCAAACTTCTTGGGATATCACTGAAGGAGGAGGTGACACATGGTGAACATGCCCCCTGTTGGGCACCAATAGGACGGTTATGGTTTAACCCAGCAGGCAGCTAAGCACCACAGAGCTGTTCGCTCAAACTCTTCCCGTTGTGCGATGGGGGAGAGAATCATAGAATCATAGAATATCCCAAGTTGGAAGGGACCCATAAGGATCATCAAGTCCAACTCCTGGCACCACACAGGTCTGCCCAAAAGTTTAGGCCATGTGACTAAGTGCACAGTCCAATCGCTTTTTAAATTCAGACTGGCTTGGTGCAGTGACTACTTCACTGGGGAGCCTGTTCCAGTGTGCAACCACCCTCTCGGTGAAGAACCTCTTCCTGATGTCCAGCCTAAACTTCCCCTGCCTCAGCTTAACACCATTCCCATGGGTCCTATCACTGGTGTTTACAGAGAATAGGTCAGCTGCTTCTCACTCCCCCTCACGAGGAAGTTGTAGACTGCGATGAGGTCCCCCCTCAGCCTCCTCTTCTCCAGGCTGAACAGGCCCAGTGCCCTCAGCCGCTCCTCATACGTCTTCCCCTCTAGGCCCTTCACCATCTTCGTTGCCCTCCTCTGGACACTCTCCAACAGTTTAATGTCCTTCTCGTACTGTGGTGCCCAGAACTGGACACAGTACTTGAGGTGAGGCCGGACCAGCGCAGAGTAGAGCGGGACAATCACCTCCCTCGACTGACTAGCGATGCTGTGCTTGATGCATCCCAGGATATGGTTGGCCTTCCTGGCTGCCAAGGCACAGTGCTGGCTCATATTCAACTTGCAGTTGACCACAACCCCAGATCCCCCTCTGAGGGGCTGCTCTCCAGCATCTCATTGCCCAGTCTGTATGTATAGCCAGGGTTGCCCCGTCCTAGGTGCAGGACCTGGCACTTGCTTTTGTTAAACTTCATGTGGTCGGGAAATAAAAAAAAGTAAAAGCTTGTGGGTTGATATAAAGACAGTTTAATAGGACAGAAAAGAAATAAATAACAATAATATGTACGAAGCAAGTGATGCACAATGCAGTTGCTCACCACCCACTGACCTGTGTCCATCCCATCCCCGAGCAGTGGTCCAGTCCTGTTTCCGTGCCCCTGGCCAGCCACCCCATATTAATTTTTCAGCATGACATCATACACTATTGAATATCCTTGGCCAGGTTGGGTCAGCTCTCCTGGTTCTGTCCCCTCCCAGCAACTTGTGCACCCACAGCCTCCTCACTGGCAGGGCAATATGAGAAGCTGAAAAGTCCTTGGCTTAGTGTAAGTACTGCTTTGTAGCAATTAAAACATCAGTGTGTTAGCATTATTCTCATCCTAAATCCAAAACTCAGCACCATACCAGCTAGTAGGAGGAAAATTAACTCTACCCTATCTGAAACCAGGACACAGTCCTTTTGTTTTCAATATTATTTTAATTACTTTTCAACGTACAAAAATAAAACTAAGGTACAGGCTGAAAACTTTTTTGTTTGTTTGTTTACATATTAGCAAACAAAAACTAAGTTTTAGATTCTCTTTAGGTAACAGCACTAACAGTATTTACAGATTTCAACTGTCCACACTCCATTTTCTGGTGAGACAACTAAATCTATCTTAACTAAGTTTACATCATTTTGGCCATTTAGAGATCAGAGCATGCATCACTAAGTCCAATTCACACTTTCAAGATTATGACAATGCCAAAGGCAATAATCCATTGACATAAAACTTAGTATCACCAAGTGGTATGTTGGACCCATAATATGCCCCAATTTGCAATACTCCATTGTTCAGAATTCACGTATGTAGAAGTTGTTTTACTGTTATAATTCTACTTTCAGACTAACATTTATGGAAATCAAGATGATTAGTCTCCTCTCTCCCAAATGAATGAATAGTAAAATTAAAATGCATGAACTCGAATCTTGTTTCATTACAAACTGAGTGATTTAGAGATGCTTCAGACCTACAAGTAGAAAATACACACATCACTATAGTATTACTGCTTTCAATGGTCATACACATGAATGAAAAAAGTCTGAAAACACGAATAAAGACGCATATGCAGTACATAAGAATTTGTATCATATAAAGCCGCCTTTACTTATCTCTTGCTTAAACCAGAAGAAAAATAACAAAGAATCCCTAAATCTAATAACCATTACAAAGTGTCAGTAAAAGCTAAAGGCAACACAGAGAAGCTACCATATAACAAATAGATTTGCAGAGTTCCAAATTAACTCCAAGTTTTGCCTTAGATGCATCTGTGGTGAAAAACTAGCAAACAAATAACAAACAACGCAGAGCATGATACAGACTGCAGAATTTATCTTTTTAGCAGCAGAGTAAATTCACTCAAGAGGTCAGTTCATTCTAGAACCAAGCTGTGTGCAGGTTGCTGCTGTTAGCCAGCTGACTAATTTAAAGCTAGATGTATCTATCTGAAATTGCTATCAAAAATTAGCAGGTGACTAATGAGTAGACAGAACCCATATCTCACCAGTTTCTCAGGCATTCTTTCGATGTTTCTAGTTTCCAAATGAGATGTCGTCCCCCCCACTTAGTTACAATTCTGAAATCTGGAAAAGTGGTGTTTTTTTGTTTTTGTTTTTTAACACCATGTTAATATCAATGTTTGTGAGCTTATTTTCATCCCTCATACCTGTGTAAACTTATTGACTTCACTGAATTTATTTGAGTAACAGTCACCTCTATTTTGAGCTTGGATTCCTGTTTCATCCACCAACAACTGTCTTCTTCTACCTTCCCCTTTTAAAATCCAAAGAAAAATCCTATCTGTTATCCAGAAACAGTTATGAAATAACTGTGGTCATTAATGGAAGCTTCTGCATATGTGCTTTAAATGCTCTTAGCAAAATGGCACCATATTGTTACTTTTCTGAGCTGACTTATGAGTCACAACATTTTCAATTAAAGGCCGACTCAAATAAAATTACATTTAAAAACACTACAGCTATAATGAATTATGCTGTTCTCAAAATCTTTGCTTAATTTCATCTATTTTATAAAGTGCAAACCCAAACAACCTGACATTGGAGCTCAGCATGCAAACTTATTACAATGAAGATAATGGGCTTCCAGTGAAAGATAGACACATTTAATGTGTGGAGCAAGCACAAACACAATTAATTTACACAATCCTGGTGAAGCAAGCATGAACTTCATTACTGTGCTACACTACTGATTTAAAAATGATCTACCTCTATGGAGACAGGTGTTTTGCAGAACATTAGTTCTCTAGTGGCAGCATTTTAGGAAGAGGAGAACTGTAAACCCCCTAATACAAATACATATAACTTAACAACCCTCACAAATCTGCAAAGTATGTGCAAAGCAAAACTAGAAAATATAAAGGTATGGCTTGGGGTGTGGAGTAAGTGTGTGTATTTGGTGTATTTCCTCCCCCCCTCCTTTTGGTCTTTAAAACTTTTTTCTAAACTAACCTTTAATTCACACAGAATATGACATAATATGTTGCATATGGACTTACATGTGATAAATTAGCTAGTAAGGCTGCCATCCTTAATTATCATTTTTTTAAGGTATTTTTTCTTATACTTTTCTGTGCACAATCCTTTACATATTAAATTATGTAACTGCTATATAGTAAAGCTATGCAATTTTAGAATAACAAAATGCAGGAAATCAAACTAAGTAACTGAAACACAATATGCTCCAAGAATTCTAATTTCTCTCAGAGGAGAAACTTAGCTTTTTTAAGATATTATAAATAATATATGTATATTTTCACTTGTATCCACATTTCAAATCAAAATAACTACCTGAATAAGACCAGATGATCAACTAAAATTATTCCTTTAATATGTACATGCCAACAGAAACTTCCCTCTAAAATACCTAATTTTATTAGTGAAACGGTGCCAAAGATAACAAGTATACAATCTCTTTGCTTTATGCTACTTACACATTATAAGACAGCTGTTGTTGCAAGACATGATACTTCACAGTCTTTCCATAAGCATACAGATTTATTTATTTTTTAATCAGAATAAGCTGTTTACCAGCCAACAGCATATGGCTTAAATATTACAAAAATTACTGTCTATACTTTATACGGTAAAGCACTTTCTAGTCTTAAATGGACACAGTGGCAAGAACATTAAATCCTACAAAAAATAAGAACAATTAATCAGCTTCACTGTCAAATTGGGTTTCATTACCTTATAAATTGGGCTTATTTCTCATTCCCTTTACTGTGTTTTGATTTTCCTTCCATAAGAATTAACTATGCAAATGAAAAGAAACTGTTGGTTTTGTTTGTTGTTGTTTGTTTTGTTTCTTGCTTTTAACTGAAATAAATTCTTCCCATGAATTAAGGCAATATAGTCATTTGATTGCATTAAGTTGTATTAAAAATAATCTACTTGATTAGGTACAAGTTCTAAAGATATGACTTTAAGACATCTCACAATGATGAAACTGATTAGTTCAAATAGCACAAGTCATATTTTGACTTGACAAAAATATTTGCTTTTCATTCTCTTTCTTACATGCTTTCTCCCCAAAGAATGAAAAAAAAAAACACAAAACCTACCATACAAATCCTTTGTAAATTAGAACATTTTTCCCCAAATTATTTGTCCCCCCATCAGTACAATTCCTTTGATATCACTCAACAGGTATTAGAGAAAATGATGGAGAGGTAATGATTAAAGCCATCCAAATGTAGATCAAATGTCTAAAGGGCTGTCTGATGTAGGTGATCAAAAAATACTTTGTATTCAGATGCTACTTTAGTACACTGGTGGTCCCCAAAATTAATCTTTGCTTTCACCTATAAATCTCTTCTAAAAATAAAAAAATAAAAATGGAACTTAAATATTTTAACAAGTGAATTAAGCAACCATTCTGACAAATCACTTAGTCTTGTCTACAGTATGGTGATGGCAAAATAGCAAAAGAGAACATGTAAGATTTAGCTGAAAAGGAGTATTATCACATATATATTTCTAGAAAATACCACATTTTAAGAAGGCACTAAAGCTTTTGCTTGTGCTCTCGTTTGTTGTTTTTTTTTTTTAATAAAAAAAATATTTTCATAGTGGCACCTGTACTATTTGCAACTGAACAGACACTGCAGTATGTCTCAAAACAAAGATATAACGTCTGATAATATCATACAGGTGTGCTCACTTCTGGAAGGAGCAAAGAAAACAACAAAACCAAACCCCAAAATAATCCAATAAGCTAACCTATTATCTATAATATCACAATATTCCTTTTAAGAACAGGAAAGTAGCATGCACTTCTCAAATACTTTAAAAGAAATATTTGTTTTAGGAATATTAGTAAGAAATTGTTTTAAATAATAAACCCCAAGAAACTCAAGCAATCAGCAAATGAAAAACATAGCAGTCAGTGGGCATTAAACATAACCATAAAACTTTGTTTATGTTTAAAAACCCTTTTTCTATAGTTGCCATTTGCAACAAAAGAAAATATATATACTTACACACCACTTCCAAGAATAAACAGTACATATTGTTTTTGTGGATTTTTTAACCTATAAGGTAAGACAATACAGAATTCATCAACAAGCAATATTTTAAACAACCTTCAATGCATATCAACTTTTTTTGATAGGACAGGTTTACATCTTTGAGTTTCTATTTATTTGGAATAGCTTACAACAAGACTTAACATAAATCATTTTACAAATAAGTACAGCCATCACAGAAATGCATGTATTTTTAGACTAATAGTTCTGATAACATCTGCCTTTTTATGGTATAACTACTGGTCCGTGCTCTCTTGCTTTAGAGTATGACGACAAAAAAGTTATCAAAAGAATTGGAAGAGCTACTAGTACTATCAACATATTCAAGTTGATTGTTTTGACATTTTCTTCCTCATTCTGGGAAATAAAAATATTTGGATTTCATTCCTTAGTTGAGTCAAACGTCCATTCTTTGCTCTAAACCTCTTCCATTTTAATTGAGAGGCTTTCTTCATTTGGTTGAGAGTTCCCATTCTGTTGTAATTTGATTTTATCTGTCCTTTGTGTATCTCTGTTGTCTACTTCCTTGACAGTTTCTGAATTTTGATCCTTGTGATCTTTGTCCTACCAGAGACAAAGTTATTTACAAAAAAAAATGCTCATAGCATTAGAGGATATGACAGTATATGACTTCCAACCAACTCTTGGTATTTTGGTTGTCTCAATTTTCACATGCCTATCTTGTGTTGGCAATTTTTAGAATAGATATGTCAACACATTTTTTAAAAGGCTTTCTTTTCAAGTGACTGAAGTTAGGCACTTGTAACAATCTGTCATCCAAGAAATCATTGCTGTAATCTGTCTTGATCATCAATATTGACATAAAACAGAACAAATAGTATCATGGAATCTATGAGAAACAGCTCCAGAAATTAAGACTTATTCATATTTTCTAAATAAAACAGGATTATGAATTTTCATTCATATTTTTTGTCAGATAACTAATGCATTTTAAGAGACTTCTTGTGTAAGAGAATTACTTAAACATACTGTGGACAATCACCTAAATCAGTTGTTTTATAACAGTTGAATAATTCTGAGTACAATCTACTTTTTAAAGGCACACTGCTTTTCAAATTCTAAGATCAAACAATTTGAAGATGTTTCTTTTAATCACACCACCCTCTATTTTGCAAAAGAAAATCCCATACTATTCTTCCCCAAATCTTCAACTTTACTTCCTGCAGAGTGCAATATGCAACCCACGATCAAAGCAAGCAGGGAGAGGCTGAACTGCAGAGTGGAAATTTATTAAAAATAAAATCTTTTGAGCTTGACAGCCAAGATGTTCCTGAACCCTACTTTTTGACTAAACAATCTGCTTCCTGCCTCCTCATACAGATAGGCAGCCAGCCAACTCCTAACATATGGCCCCAAACAGAAAAAAAGAGAGAAACTAAAACCAAGCGTTTCCATAGCCTATACATACAAGCTCTTATGGGTCCAGTAAAGTTCAAACACAGAGACTTATCAAACTAGACTACTTGTTGCAGAATGACTTTCATGTCTCCTACTGGCAAAAGCTAAACCCAAGTGTCTCAAGTGGCAATATTTTGGTAAGGAAAAAGGAGAAAATAAAGAAGGAGGGAAATAAGAAAAAGAGGGAAGGAATTCCAATAATCACTCCACTTCCAGCACTCCACTACTTACCATTTGGTCACACAGCTTACCTTCAAAGTAGTGGTGCTTTGGTCAGATTGCTCCTTTCTACCTTTTTCTTTATCACTTTTTTTCTTGGAGGTGGAACATTCTCTCTCTCTTCTTTCATTATTTGTATCCCTTTCTCTTTTTTTTTCTTTCTTGTTTCTGTTTAAGAAAACTTTTACTCAAATCAGAATTTGATCCAAATGCAAATGTACTAACAACAGTTACATCAAGCGTATTGTACATATGTATTTGCAAGTACAAGTACTGTACAAGTGTATTTGCATTGCTGACAGATTAGAAACTCTAAAGAATACTGAAGCTCAAATCCTACGAACATTTGTTGTTGTTGTTTTTTTAATTGAAACTGAATCATACTGGCCATAGTCATCTGAGATGACTAGTGCAAAGACAGTAAATCAGTGAGAACACTTCCAAAATTGTATCTGTATCCATATTTGATTGCTCTGTTCATTGAAAAACACTGACCCTTTACTTAGAAAAACGAATGACAAATATTAAAGAGCTCCTTGTATAACAAAAATATAAATAAAATCAGAAGAACCACAAATTGAGTTCAGTTCCTTTCATAATGGTGATCTCTATGTCCCATTTAAATTTAACAAAAATATTACAACTTTTTCCTCCATTACTGCTTATTAACTTTTATGTTTACATCAAACTGACCTTATTGGAGAAGGAGTTTGCGAAGACTTTCTTTTTGTTGCTTTGGATGTTTTAGGAGACTTGGAAGGACTTCTACTCTTCCTTTTATGTCTTTCTCTGCAGGACCAAGAAATTCAAGATCAGCAAAGACAACCAAGAATAAACTCAGAAACTGCATAAAAAAGAAAGCTCTTAAAATGATTTGCCACAACAGCTAAGTAAATATCCCCAAGTTTAACATTATATATCACCAACAGTATATGAATTGCACATAGTTTAAAAAAAAAAAGCTTTTTCATGTTTCAGTTTGGTGGAAAAGTGGAGAATGGAAGTGGAAAGGAGGGAGAAAAAAAAAGTTGTGCCCTTTCAGATTTCAGTTTTATGTTCATCTTCACATGCTTGTATTCACACCTGTGTGAGAAACAAAGTTGTGTTTTTGCAGTAGAGAGTTTCTCACACCTGATAACAATGGAAGCACAATGAATTCGCTAATACTGTATTAAATAAGAGTTTCTCCAGTCAAGAAAAGAATGCAATTGAATGAGGAGCCACAAGACAACAAGATACATAACTTCAGTAATGTGAACTTCAAAACATTACAAGCTCAAGATCACTGGAATTTCAGTTCAACCTGGCTCAAGTTTAATTCCTGAATATATGAGCTAGCATTCCTATTGGTTTAGAAGCAAACAGTCAGTGTAAAGTGAAGCTCAAGCTGTTGTCAAAATCAAAATGGATTAAGTTTATATTTATTATTTATCATTCTATAATGCACCAAAGAGCTCGTAATACTTTGGAAACCAGCTGTTTTATGCAGGTATGGAATTTGTTGAAGTTGTTATTCTGGAATCTGATCTCGAACAGAACACAACATTTAATGGAATGAGCCTTGTTAATACCAGCAGAAATTGCCAGTGGAACGTATGGAATCCCATTGCCTTCTTCATGCAAAAAGAAACAAAAATTTAAGAAAAAAATATCTGACAGACAATATTCCATGTCTAAGACTGACTGAAATTGATATTACATAGCCTTCAGATTGGGCAATTACTGGGTTATGAATGAAGATACCACTTCAGCCATCAAGAAATCTCTTTGGACAAAATTATTTCCTATCTCTGCTAGCCTATTGATGGACTGTTGGAAAAGGATACTGATCCTTAACTTCCTCTGGTCTGTCTGTCTTCTTTCAGCTAGGAATGATAAATAGCCATCTTATTTCTAGTACTTGCATGCTGTTTGTCAGTAAAGCAAGGTCAACAAAAAACACACACACACAAAACCACACAATTTAAACATTAGGGGAAAAAACCTCTAATTTCTGTATTTCGGTATGTGCCCACTTCTTCTTGCCACTTCACTGGCTACCACCAAGAAGAGAGGCTCCATCTTTACATTCTCCCATCAGGTATTTATATGCGTTGATAAGATGTCCCCTCAGCCTTCTCTTCTCCGGGCTAAACAAACATGGCTTTCTCAGCCTCTCCTTGTATGCTCCATGCCCTTCATCAGCTTTGTGGCCCTTTACTAGACTTGCTCCAGTATGTCTGTCTCTCTTGTACTGGGGAGCCTGGACCTGGACCTGGGATTCCAGATCTGGCCTCACCAGTGCTGAGGAGAAGGAAAGAATCGCCACCTTTGACCTGCTCACAACACTCTTCCTAATGCAGCTCAGGATACTGCTGGCCTTCTTGGTGGCAAGGGTGCATTGCTGCCTCATGTTCCCTTTGGTGTCCATCAGAATTCCCCCGGTCCTTTTCTGCCAGCTGGTCAGCTGGACAGTGTACTGGTGCATGGAGTTATTCATGCCCAGGTGAAGGACTTTGCATTTCCCTTGTGTTCAATGCCATGAATTTCTCTGAATGGCAGCACACCCCTCTGGTATACCAGACACTTCTCCCAATTCTGTATCTGCAAACCTGCCAAGGGTGTGCTCTGTTCCACTGTCTAGGCTATTGATGAAGATGTTCAATAATACTGGCCCCAGTACTGATCTCTGGGGTATGCCACTATTAATTGTTTTGTTTTTTTTTTTCAGCCGGACTTCATGCAGTTTTGAAGAGTTGTTTTTTTTTTTTTTTATTTTATGTTTGTTTAAAGAGAGCAGGTATTACTGACCAGTATTCCAGTGTTATTTAAAAAGGGACTGTGCTTTACTTAAGATTTTGTGTTGACAGCAATGCAACAGGTTATTGGGTCTTTAAGTATCCATTTATATGCTACTAGAAAATAATTGGTTCTGGGAAACAGCTCATGATAAAGGAAACTTCATAATTCAGAGTGGAAAACAGCATGAAATCTGTGGCATGACTTTATCAGCTGATATATTTGAAAATAAAAATATTTAACTCCTGTTGGATTTACCGTAATGGAGAGACATACTACCTCTTACTATCTTCCCAACTTGCTGTCTTAAATTAGTGGAGGGAAAATTTGTTTTGTGCATATATCAGGGAAAACAAATCCAGTCCTAGGAAAGTTTCAGATGTATTTTTAATTGTTTTGTTTAAATTGTTTCTACGTACTTCGTTCCATGAATCAAAAATTCAGCATTGCTTATAATATGGTATCTTCTAGGCTGAATAAGAACACCTTGTTCTGCTGCTGTATCATTAAGTGCTAGCTATTGGTTTCTTGGACAGATGGACTCCATTGGGTAACCAGTGAAACAAGAAAATGGAAAGCAGAGGTACTATCTGTCAAATTTCCCTTTCTCTCCCATACAATATTAATTAACCAAGCCATCATGCCACTATTTCCTTTTCCTTTAGTTTTACTTCCCTTCACCAGAAACAGTAAACTCGCTATGCTTGTGAACAGAATAAATCACTCTGTGGTTAGAAACTCATACCTGTTATATAGTTTAAAAAAAAAAAAAAAAAAAAAAAAAAGTTTTCATTCCTTATTTGTCAATATTGATGACTTTTTTAAAAAAATGTTAAAATGTAAGTAACTAAGCAGAAGCCACAAGATGAACTAGAAAATAATCAAACGTGAGATTCTTTTGTTGCACGTGCATAACAGAGTATGTTCAGACACAATTTCTCATACCTTCTATTGGTAAGGCAGGATCTGTACTATGTTTTATTGTCACACTTGATCAGATGAATGTGTTGTAAAAATAAATAAATAAGCATACTTCATCAGTGTTCTGTAGTCATGATGATCTCTTCCTTGCTCTTAAGTACATGATGAAAGAAATATAGCTGGAACTTATGCTACTGAAAGAATTTCATTTGAAGGCTAAATATCAGCTACAGGGCTTTTTTTGGTGCAGCAATACTAGCAAAAGAAAGTAGTATATCTTCTTCACAAGTCAAAGTAACACTTTGTTGATTTCTGTGAGGTAAAGACGTTTGTGTGCTTTTTGATGGGCTATATTCAATGGCTGTGGCAATCTGAGTGCAATGTTTTGTCTTGATGCTTCTTCCTTTCTGGCTGTTAGCAGTTTAAAGATGAAATTATTTATAACCCAAATTAGATCAGACCTCAGTAATTCCTTATCCACTTATAATGCTTGTGGCAAAAAGGAATATTAGCAGTGGTTGAAGGCATCTTACTCAATTTGATTGACTGTCAGCATTAGAAATTGAAGCTTATATGTTTTCTGATTGCATCCCTGGTGTTGTGGTTTTGGATGGGACTGAGTTAATTTTCCGCATAGGGGGCTGGTAAGCACCATGAGAAAAATAATGCACACCAGTGCTTAAACTAAACCAAGGACTTCTTGCTGACAGGATGGTATGAGAAGCTGAGGAGGCTGCAGGTACATATGAAGCTGGGAGGGGAAAGAGCCAGGACAGGTGACCAAAGGGATATTCCATACCATGCGACATCATGTGGGACAATAAAAACTGGGAGTGTTGTCAGGGAAACATAGGACTGCTCCTTGGGGAGTGGCTGGGCATTGTTCGGTGAGTAGTGAGCCATTGCATTGTGCATCACACAATTGCATTGAGGAGGAAGCAGGGCAAAAAGTAGGATTGTGACCCTGGACTTCAGAAGAGCAAACTGTCCTCTAGATGAGTGGTCAGTGAGGTGGATGGATCAATTGGATGGATGGATTGGTTGGATAGCAGAGCTCAGAGGGTTGTGCTCAGTGGTGCAGTCTAGTTGGAGGCCTGTAGCTAGTGGTGTCCCCCAGGGGTCAGTACTGGGTCCAGTGTTGTTCAGCTTATTCATCAACCACCTGGACGATGGAACAGAGTGCACCCTCAGCTAGTTCGCTGACGACACAAAGCTGGGAGGAGTGGCTGATACCCTAGAGGGCTGTGCTGTCATTCAGAGGTACTTCAACAGGCTTGAGGGTTGGGCCTAAAGGAACCTCATGAAGTTCAACAAGGGCAAGCATAGGGTCCTGCATCTAGGGAGGAATAACCCCAAACCCCAGTACAGGCTGGGGGCTAACCTGCTGGAGTGCAGTTCTGCAGAGAGGGGCCTGGGAGTCCTGGTGGACACCAGGCTGACCATGTGTAAGTAATGTGCCCTTGTGGACAAGAAGGCCAACAGTATCCTGGGGTGCATTTGGAAGTGTTGCCAGCAAGTCAAGGGAGGTGATCCTCCCACTCTACTCAGCACAGGTGAGGCCACACCTGGAGTACTGTGTACAGTTCTGGGCTCTGAGTACAAGAGGGACATGGAACTACTAGAGCATGTACAGAGGAGTGTTAATAAAATGATTAGAGGACTGGAGCACCTGTCATACAAGGACAGGCTGAGAGAACTGGGCCTGTTTAGCCTGGAAAAGAGAAAACGGGAGATCTCATCACTGTGTATAAATACTTGAGGAGATGGTGTCAAGAGGTGGAGCCAGTCTCTTTTCAGTTGTGCCTAGTAAGAGGATAAGACTCTTCACAAGTCAAAGTAACATTTAAGATTTTGTTGATTTCTGTGAGATAAAGATGTTTGTGTGCTTTTTGATGGGCTACATTCAACAATGATGGCCCCATCAATGCTCCCCTAGTGATCACAGAATCACAGAATTGTCTAGGTTGGAAGAGACGTCAAGATCATCGAGTCCAACCTCTGACCTAACACTAACAAGTCCTCCACTAAACCATATCACGAAGTTCAATATCTAAACGTCTTTTAAAGACCTCCAGGGATGGTGACCCCAC